AGCCGCACAGCGTCGAAATCACAGCCATCAGACCGAACAAGCTTCCGGTGAGCTCCCGGACTTCAGAGGCTACTTTACTGCAAATAAAAGTATATTGAGTAAAGTTCGAAATTTCGAGATTAATTTAAACGTTTTCTCACTATGCTATTAAAAATTTCAGAATAAGTGGCGGGAGACTCCATAGCTAGCAGTTCCTCCCGCTGTTTTTGCCAGTGCAACGTGGACTGTTGAATGATCTGGTGGTTTTCCTAACGTTCGCTTTGTCTTCTGGCATAAATTTCACAGCAAAATTCATAAAAAAGTCCGCATTCATCCACCTTGGTCCTCTAAGTACTCATTACACCATAGTATGTGGCAGCCAGTCCATCGACTGACGCCGATATAGCCGAATGAATTGCCCGTCTCTTTTCCATTCCCAGTAGACTGAAGAAAGGATGCTTCGGGTGGACTCGTGCTTAATACTAGCATAATCAGACAGAAGATTTGGTCGTACGGAATAAAAGGATCTTGATGCTGCAACCTCAAGTCGATAACAATTTATGATCAAAACTGAACCAACTAAAATCGGGTGAAAAAAATGAGAATAAATATCAACATACAAAAATGTGTCGTCAAATTTTTTTTTTCATTTTTTCATAAATGTGCAAAAACGCATAGAAAATTGTACATTAAAGCCACAGAAATGGAAGAAATTACGACAAAATGAGCAGAGCATCAATTCTTTTTTTTTTTAAATGTTCGTACATTACTACTGCACAGTGGCATAGACAAAAAGCTGCTACAAAATAATATTACATATTGTTAGTTTGCTCGTAAGTAAAAAGCGAGTTTCTTACCGCGTTGCACTGATGGTCGTCGCCGTGAAAAGGAAACCATTTGAAATGGAGAATAAGATCATTGTGGCGATGAATGCTTTATCGCTGTGGAAGAATGTCGCCGAATGATAACGAGGATTTATGTTGCAAAAGAAAAATATGGGGATGAGCAGCAATCGCAGCAACGATAAAGTCAACAGGCTTTTCTCACCCTGAAATATTAGCTCTTTTTCCAGTAAGCGACGGGAATTCGCAAGACTACATCATCCTGCTCACAAATTTCTTCTAACGACCAAAGCTGGATTAAATGTGACCAGTGTGCCAGTAATGATCATAATGCTGTAAAGAAACGGAAAAATATTTAAGATAAAACTTAGACATGGCTTACCATGGGCTACTCACCTCCAGCTGTGACTTGCTAAATTC